TTGGGGATCAGGGCAAAAGCACTCTCTTACATTGGTGGTCAAGGCAGAACTGCTCCCATGCATTGGTGGTCAGTGAAATGCTCACTTACATTGATGTTCAGTAGAGAAGCGCTCTCTTCTATGGTGATCAATGGAAACATGCCCCCTGTCATTGGTGGGCAGGACAGAAGAGCTCCCTTACATTGATGGTCAGTGGAGAATTGCCACTTACATTGGTGGTCAGAGCAAAAGTGCTTCGTTACATTGGTGGTGAGGACAGAAGTGCTCCCTTACATTGGTAGCCAGGAGAGAAGTGCTCCTTATACATTGGTGACCAGTGGAGAAATACTCTCTTACATTGGTGGTGAACAAAGTCCTCTCTTATATTGGTGGTCAGTGAAGAGGTGACTCCTGTCATTGGTGGAGAAACATGAAAAAGAAGCTCACTCTCCTGATTAACCCCGATTGGGTCAAGGGGTGAATTCGACACTCTGTGATCTTGTATAGGGTATAACTTTGTTAGCAAGTTTTAACCGAAATTCAAATTCTGGACAGACTTGGACCTGGATCAGAATACAGCCAGAATGACATAGCAGCGTATTGGACTAAATCGGCAGAGAGTAGAGGACCTTCCTTCTTTACCTGTCTTGCACCAAGTGCAGTAGTGAAGTCTACTCCATACCAGTGGCTTTTAGAACTCTGAAGCATATGAAGAAAAGTGCCCTTAGGTAGTTGGATATTTATCAGATGTTTACTCTCTCCAAGGTGAATACCTCTCACCAAGTGCCCTGTGACGTTTCCATTATCAGATTTGTCATAGCCAGGACAGAACTTCTAGATCATATAGGAACAGTTTGTATATACTGTAAACCCCATGAAAGTCCCTCTCCAGAATAAAACTCATTTTCTATCACCTCTCTCTTGCTTATTCTGACATTCTTTTGTTTCTCTGCCTACTGAGCAGACTAATCTGGCTTGGGACACACAAGGGCTAGACGCCCCATTAGTAAGGGGCCCAACAGAGAAAGCGTTGTTATCCATCTGGCTGTGTTATGTGATAGGAGTGTGTAAATCTCCAAACTGGATCTACAACCCAAACCCCTTGTTGGGTAAAACCGCTCCCTTACATGTAATTTATCTATATATTTAGATGTTTGTCCCACATGGAGATTTAATTCTGACTTCCACAAACACTTTCACCCCATCTAAGAAGACATTTTTGGCACAGCTGATGTAGTCATCTGGACTGAATGTATACATCGATGAGACATAACTGACCACTGGCAGGTTAAGTGAATAACATTGATTATCTCATTACAATGACATGACCCTAAAAAACTGGGATATACTGTATTAGGCAACAAGTAAACATGAAGTGTTGAAAGTAGGAAAAATGGGAATTGCAGTGTGTTGTGTATGGGGCTGCATAGCCACAGATTGGTCAGGGGGTCCATGCTGACCCATGTCCACAGCCAAAAGTGCCTACAAGGGGCATGTGAGAATCAGAACTAGACCACAGAGCAATGAAAAAAGGTGGCCTGGTCTGATGAATTACATTTTCTCTTAAATCATGTGACTGGCCGGGTGCATGTGCGTCACTTACCTGGGGAAGAGATGACAAAAGCATGTAGTATGGGAAGAAGGTAAGCCAGCAGAGGCAATGTGATGCTTTGGGCAATGTTTTGCTGGGAAGCCATGGGTCCTGCCATTCGTGCATGTTGTTGCTGACCAAGTACACCCCTTCATGTAAATGGTATTCTCTGACAGTAGCCTCTTTCAACAGGATAATGGCTTTAGGAATACATAAGTTTGAGGTGTTGACTTGGCCTCCAAATTCTCCCATTTTTCGTCCAACCTGTGGAAGCCACACCTTACAGCTTACAAAACATAAAGTATCTGCAACTGACAGCTTTGTATCAGATACCAGAGCATACCTTCAGAGGTCTAGTGGTGTCCATACCTTGATGGGTAAGGGCCTATTTTGGTGGCAAACTCAATATTAGGTGGCTGGCCACAAAATTATGGCTGATCAGTGGATATGTTCAGAACCAAAACCATAGCAATTTGTTGTCTTTCACATGACACAGATGTATTATTTACAGCAAGAGATCTTATGTTTTCCTCCAGCTGTAGTGAACATTTAATTGATGATACCTGTTTCAAGAGAAATATGTAAGCTGCAATAGCTGGCTTCTGAAAATGTATGTTGCCTGGCTGCTTGAGGCTTTAATGTACTTTAAATTACTAACCCAAAATAAGCATGCAGCAAGTGAAGTGTTAGCCGGAGTTCGGCTGTAATATGTTGGTCAAATCCATCTAAATCTACTGACCCTATCCTAATACTGACACTAAATGTAATCTAACACTGCTCTCTCCCCAGATTGACAATGCTGCTCTCCAAGATAGCATTCGCTTTCTATCTAGAGCTGAAGCCCCTCTTAGCCCTCATGCACACGGGACGTTTTGATAATGCTGGTAACATTAGCTGTGTAAAGTCACGTTAAAAATATGAGTTTTTTTAGCACTTTTGCACTAGCGTTTAGCGGCGGATTGCCATGATTAGCAGAGTTTTTCCGCGTTTATGTTTTTTTTTAGCTTTTTTTTTACCAGAAAAATATATTTTATTAGTGAAAAAAAATTCAAAAACGCCGGTTTGTGGCATTTTACCGCGTTTTTTCTGCGGTTTTCAGCGTTAGAGCGTTTTTACAGCTAAAAAATTCCTCTAGAAACCCAATCATTTTGGGGTTTTTTTTCCTACCAAAAAACGTTGATTACAGCCTATGTGTGCATGGACACATAGGATAACATACTAGGGAGTTTATTGACTGTAGAAAAAAGCGTCAAACGCCAAAAACAGCCGCTGTAAAAACGTCAAGTGTGCATGAGGGCTAAGACAGGAGGTGTGTTACTGGCTGGATTACCAGGTTAAATAAAAGGAAGAAAAACACAGGCAACCACTACATTAAGGGCCCATTTACACCTGATGCAGTGGCATGCATTTTTGACAGCATTCCAACTGCATCCAAAATCCAGCTTATCCCATGGGCACAGTTCTCACTATTGCAGTCAGGGGTGTATATACCACAAGGCAAACAAGGCACTTGCCTAAGGCAGCATTTTTCAGGGAGGCAGCATCTCCCCCCAGAAGAAGGGATGAAAGACGGGACACACGTGCCATGGGAACCAGGTGGGATATGAGAGAGGCTGCAGGCTGCTTTATGGAGTATGTAGAGCCTGACTCTCGCTCCTGGGGATATCCAGAGCAGTGAAGATGAGTGTCTTTCTCTTTATCGCTGAAGTGGGGGGGTAGTGGAAGGCTCTCCCAGGGGGGGGGGGGGGCAGGGGTGTTGTTGGTCAATGTCAGGCTCTCTCCACAGGAGGGAAGGGAGGGGGTGTTGGTCGGTGTCCCTGGGGGCACATGGTTTTTGTGTTGCCTAGGGCAGCACAAAACCTAAATACACCACTAACTGCAGTGCAATGCACTACAGTGAATGAAGTACAGCAAGCTGCATTTTTTTGCACAGCAATGCACACGAATGCATGTAAATGCAAAACAATGCACCCCAATTCATGAAAATCCAAAGAAAAAAGAAGACAGAAGTGACCACAAAGGAAATGCAAGCTTAGGAAAAATGCGCCACAAATGGATGTAAAATGCGTGTCAAATGCACATCACTGTGTATGTAAAAACAAGCGGTAAACACATAGTTTCTAATGTGAATGGGCCCTTAAGAATTGATAAGCTACTATGTTGGCACTCAGCAGAATGTGAATCATGCACACATAGTAAAACATTTGGGGAATGGTCAGGGTCTATTCACACTTGTCCATTTTGCTGCATAGAAATGCATATTGAATGCAAATCCTGTTCTTTCCTATGTAGCTTGTTCACATCTCTGTGGTGCAGAGGTTATCAGGAACAGCAGACTCTATCAGTTACACTGGCCAGGTATAGTGCACAGGTGTTATAATTACTGATTTTTGTTCCTGTATATAGGCATTTTGTTAAACACTCCCCCTATCTGTATTTCCTATTTCTCATGCATGTCAGGTATCTTAAAGTATTTCTGAAGCCAAAACTTTTTTTTAGTTTTTTTTTAAAGAGGGTATGAAAGGGACAGAACAGTTGTCAGGTTTTTATTGCTGTCTGTATCATCGCTGGAGCAGTTCACCCTTTTTGTGGGTCCTGGTCACCACTATCATCGAAAATGGAAAGTGATAGAATATGCAAATTTTTTGCAGTTGCCACTAAAATAGAAGATGAGGAGAAATCTTCCAGTATGGACATCCCTTCTTTTTAAATATTAAATTAGATTTATAAAGAATTCCTGGAGCATGCTGGGTTATCTAAAGAGGCAGCACAGCAGAAGCAGTCAGTCTTGACCCCCGGTTCACATGTATGTGGCCGTGCGGGCCGTGTTTTGCATGGGCATGAGAGCCCATTCATTTGAATGGACTCCCGTGCCCGTGACATGCAGAGAAGAAGTTCCTGCACTTCTTTGGAAACCGCAGTCTGCACAGGAACCTCGGTTCCCAGTAAGGTTGCGTCTTCCAGTGCGGGCTGCGTCCACATTGCACTGTGCGGGTGGATTGCTGTGCGGAACTTAAAATATTTAATTGAATTAATTTGCAATAAGTACGTGACTTCAAAAAAACAAAAAAAAAAAGATTAAAATGTTATATGTTTTAGTCATGATCATGATAAATAAAGAAAATATGTATAAAAGTACAATGTATTTCCTTTAAACTGGGTGGAACGTTTTACTATGCTGATGTTCTAGACAGCGTGCTCGGGTTGTCTTCTCAAAGTATAAATTAACACCTACTCACACAGCTATTTTAACTGATGCAGTCTTACTATACTCACCATGAACTTGGCAGTATATCTGAAATAAATACATGTGCTATTTATGTTTTAAATTACATAGTTGCACTAGCATTGCATGCTTTGTTAAATATACTCTAATGAATACAATAGTATTTCCTTTTTAGCACACAAAGGTTCTAAAATTCAAGCTACATTACTGTTTGCATTGGGACTTTGGAGCAATTGATATCACACGTCCTAAGCCCCTGTGAATCTGTCCCTGGATCGGACTGCATTGAATTTCCTCTCCATCCACTGTCATTATACCAGTGCTTTCATGTGGTTCTATTCGAAATGCCAGAACAGGAAGGTGAGTCAAATGGGGAATATCATGGTCCAGATGTGTTCCCTTCTCCATAGCCATAAACAGTTTAACAAGACTTGTCCTTGAGATTCTGGAGGTGGCGTAATACAAGTGGATGTGCCCTTCACCTGGACCTTTGAACATAGGGGCAGCAAAGTGTTCAGCCCCCAGGTGAGACTGATAAAGTGCCAGAACAAGGACAAACTGGTCTTCGACAGTATGCCAGTGACTTGGAACGGGCTGATCCAGCGGTACCAGTAGATGGTCTTCCAGCAGTGTGCCGTCTGTTGGAGGACTACCTCCACTTTCCATTTCTGCAGTTGAGGAGCTGCCTGGCAGGAACGAGAGACGACCTGAGTAAGTACGTAATGCAGTCAGCCGCACAAAGGTTCCTATAGAGAAACGGGCATAGCCCATAAACCTGTATTTCTCACTTTCTATATCAACGTCTGAAATTAGGCCCCAGGCCACGCTAAGGAAGGAGAAGATCCTCTTTCCAGGCAAGGTGGTCAGGGAGACAATGTCCAGGGGTAGCAGCTGACCCTTACATAGGATAAAGGCACAGTTTGTGAGGAGCTTTTTACCTGTCACTTGTTCATGTCTGTAAAAAAAAAGAAAAAAAAGTAATGTGTATATATAAGCAAATATGTCTACAACATTCATACACTATATTGCCAAAAGTACTGCGACAGCCCTCCAAATCAGTGGATTCAGCTGTTCCAATCACTTCCATGGCTACTGGTGTATAAAATCAAGCATCTAGGCATGCAGATTGCATCTACAAACATTTGTGAAAGAATGGGTCACTCTCAGGAGCTCAGTGACTTCAAGCGTGGTACTATGATAGGTTTCCATCTGTGCAATAAGTCCATCCGTGACATTTCCTTGCTACTAAATATTCCTCGGTCAACTGTTGGTGGTATTATAACAAAGTGGAAGCAAATGGGAACAAGAGCAACTCAGCCACGAAGCGGTAGGCCACGTATAATGACAGAGAGGGGTGCACAGTGCGCAGAAGTCAGCAACTGTCTGCAGAGCCAATAGCTAAAGACATCTAAACTTCGTGTGGCCTTCAGATTAGCATAACAACAGTGCGTAGAGAACTTCATGGAATGGGTTTCCATGGCCGAGCAGCTGCATCCAAGCATTACAAGTAAAGAGTCGGATGCAGTGGTGTTAAGCACACCACCACTGGACTTTAGAGCAGTGGAGAAGTATTCTCTGGAGTGATGAGTCACACTTCTCTGGCAATCCAATGGACATGTCTGGGTTTGGCGTTTGCCAGGAAAACAGTACTTGCTTAACTGCGTTGTGCCAAGTGTAAGATTTGGTGGAGGGGGGAATATGGTGTGGGGTTGTTTTTCAGAGGTTGGGCTTGGCCCCTTAGTTCCAGTGAAGGGAACTCTTAAGGCATCAGCATACCAAGACCTTTTGGACAATTTCATGCTCCCAACTTTGTGGGAAGAGTTTGGGGATGGCCCCTTCCTGTTCCAACATGACTGCGCACCAGTGCACAAAGCAAGGTCCATAAAGACAAGGATGAGCGAGTTTGGGATGGAGGAACTTGACTGGCCTGCACCACGATAGAACACCTTTGGGATGAATTAGAGTGGAGACTGCAAGCCAGGCCTTCTTGTCCTACATCAGTGCCTGACCTCACAAATGCACTTCTGGAAGAATGGTCAAACATTCCCATAGACACACTCCTAAACCTTGCGGACAGCCTTCCCAGAGGAGTTGAAGCTGTTATAGCTGCAAAGAGTGGGCCAACTTAATACTGAACCCTACGGACTAAGACTGGGATGCCATTAAAATTCAGGTGCGTGTAAAGGCAGCCAGCCCAATACTTTGGCAATATAGTGTATCTGCTAGCCAAAAGATGTGTATATTTGCTTAACTAGTCTTTTGAGCCAGGTACCAATAACAGATCTTTACTCTCCACTACAGCTTGGTCAAGAACACACCCCAGGCTGCTGATTGGACAAGGTGTGAACAGCAGCACAGCTCACTATGCTTTCTCCTCCTGTCAGTATATTCAGAGCATATCTGGAGCCTGCTTGAATCTTTTGCATTATATAGATTGTAAATATACATGTAGGCCCCCCAGAATACATCTAATCAAAGGCCTGGATCAATGGGCTTTGTTCATTTCAAGCAAGTTTTGCACTCTTATGCATGTCGGATGGAGTGTAATTTCTACTTAATGCAGAAAAAATAAAACTGTCAATGAATTTTGAATGATCTGAGAAACATCACAAACTGATAATTTGACACAAACCTAAAGCCCGTTGACACAGGCCTGTAAAATAATAGTTTCTCTGACATATCTAATGATGTGAAACACCCACAATGATGATGGTAGACAGACACAATGGGGAGAGTTACTAAAACTAGAGCACTCTGAATCTGGTGCAGCTGTGCATGGTAGCCAATAGGCTTCTAACTTCAGATTGTTCAATTATTCCAAGTGTCACTAAACCCACATCATACAAAACTATCAATAAATGCCCAGAATAACTGCTTGTTTTCTGTATTCTGCAAAAAACCTGGTTGGTCCTATTGCTCTCTGTCTCCCCCTTCTGTCCAAGTCCCCAATGCAGCTATAAATTTTGCAGAGCAGCGTTGGCAACTCTGCACATGCTCCGTTTTCAGTGAGTTGTACCCTGAGCAGGCTCACCTCATCTGGTGTGAATGGACCCTGAATCTAAGAATCTCCACCTGCAGTACTTTTTACTGCCATGAGATGTCCTCAGCCTATTCTTTTCATGGCATGCAAGAGGTATAGTCTTTTATTAGTCACTGAAGTCAAAGAAACAGTCCATGATAGTTTGCTTTTCAGAGGGCATTTAACTGAGAGCAGGACTGATGCTAGACTATTTTGCGCCCTAGGCAAGACCAGTTACTTGCACCCAATACATTTTTTTTTTTTAAAACAGTAGAAAATATTAAATCAACAAAACATGAAACTGATACATTTCTTTTAATTTGCAAAAATAAATGCAATAAGATGCCACCAGTGCCAATATTAAAGACAAAATCAATGTCACGGACAGACTGTATCTGTGGGTGGCAGTGGCAGGGTGACAGTTGCAATGAGTGGAGGATGATGGATCCACGCAGATCCTAGGCTGGAATTCCTCCGGTAATGGGAGGAGATAAAACACTGTTTCAGCAGGCAGGTGAACTGAGCGATCCCACAGAGTGACAGATCTGACACAACACACCACCAATACTGACACAGATCAGCAGGCCCAGCAGGCACTAGAAGAGCAGGCTGAGGGATCGTGATGATGTCATCACTCACTGACACATTGCACATGTGATAGATGGCTGGCTGGGTCACACTTACACAGACAGGACACATCAGAGTCAGACATTACCTCCCTCCACAGGTGCAGATCCACTGATGAATGGGAAGAGAAGGGCTGGAACTCCACAGTGATCAGCAGCCACCAGCCGGCTTGCAGTAAGGGACTGAGTCTGAGAGGAACACTGGAAGGAACGGCAGCTTAGCTGCTACACTGGCCCCAGACACCCGGCAACTTCCTCTGTCCTTTCTTCCTGCCTCTGCCGCTCTGCCGCCTCTCCCCCCATCTGAAGGATCATTCATGATGTGGCGGCGTCCCACACGGACAGAGTGCCAGCCTGTGCTGCACCCAGGCGCCCCTAGGTGGCAGTGCGCCCTAGGCGGCTGCCTAGTTTGCCTAGTGGAAGCACCGGCCCTGACTGTGAGACTATAGGTCACCTCTTCACCACGTGTCTTAGCCCTGTAAAACCTTCACCATTGTCCCCATTTAGTTGAATGTGTCCACTTTGATGGCAATACTGCTTGTGGCATGTGGCCAGACCCTGCGTTTTTTTAGTGCTTTTTGCATTTTACAGAAACTCACTACAGTCCACTTAACATGGTTTCCTACACGTTCAGGCGTGTTCAGCAGCTGCATTCTTGGATAGGGTCAAGGACTTTTTCTCACTGCAGATTGCAACTTGCATAGGTGTGAACCAGGCCTAAAGAAGAACTATCTTTACTACATGTTTTACATTGTCCTTTGCCCTATGTGACAAAGTACATATAGTACTGTGTCCCACGTGGCTAGGTGCTTCCTATGCCTGGCTCTTGTATCAGCTCTGAGCACTTTCCCCAGACAAGATGTGACAAGAGGAATGCAGACAGGAGACATAATCACAATATTCCCAAGGCACACATCCCTGATGATGGCTGTTCAGTGTTGTGGGTGCTGCAATGACCACAGGCTGGGAACCATAGACACTTAGGGCCAGTTCACACTATAGAAACGCAGTCAAGATGTGTTCTGGATGCGCTCTGCATGTGCGTTTTTGCCACATTTCAGTGTGTTTTGATGTGTTTTTGACACGTTTTTGGTGTCTTTTTAATGCTTTCTGGTTAATTTTTTCCCCTCTCTTTTTCTTCAATTTATATAGGGACATGTGGGTTCCAGTGCGTTTTTTAATGCGTTTTACCACGTTCCGGTACAGTTCTGTGCAGAAAACATGCAGCCTGTTCTACTTTTTTTTTTGCAACTTGAACGCACTGGAACTGCAAGCACTGATGTGAACTTTGACATTGACAACCATATAACCTACTTTCTGTGCATTTTGGATGCAGAAAAAAAGCAACTGAAACGAATGTAGTGTGAACTGGCCCTCAATGCGAAAAAATATCACCAGCACAGGTTTCTTCACAGTGAAAGCTGTGAGAATGTGTAATAAGACTCCCTCAAGAGTTGGTTTTGGCCAGCTCAGTGGATTGCTTTTAAAAAGGCCTGGATTCTTTCTTAGATACACAGAAAATAACTGGATGCTAACATTTATAGGTAAAGTTGATCCAGGGAATATCCGATTGCCTCTCGGGGGATCAGGAAGGAAATTTTTCCCCTGCAGGAGCAAATTGGTTCATGCTTTGCTGGGTTTTTTTTTTTGCCTTCCTCTGGATCAGCTGTGGGGATAGGATTATAACTTTCTTTTTTTTTTTAATGGTTGAACTGGATGGACTTTTGTCTTTTTTCAGCCAGACTAACTATGTAACACACCAAGGATTCCTCAAAAGGGTCCAAGCTTTTTTTCACACACGGTACATACAAAGGCATCGTTTTGAAGCCATGCAAGGCTCTCTTTGTCAGGGGCCCTGCGTCCTGACGAACGGACCTCGCGTCTCTCTCCAAAACACTGCCTTTGTATGTGCCATGTGACTACTAAAGAAAGCTTTGGACCTGTTTGAGGAATTCTTGGTGTGTTGGTGACATTTCTTCGCATTGAGGGCCAGACAAAGCCCCCTCTCCCTCTGCATTCCTCTTGCCTGGGGAAAGGGCCCTGAGATGACACAAGCCCCAGTTCTGATGGATCTGTCTCTTTCTAAGCTGTTGTCGAATTTGTGACGGGAGGGAAAGGGGGGCAGGTTGGACTTGGGAAGCACCTAGCTACATGGGATATAGTATGAAATGTTCTTTGGGACAGAACAATGTAAAAATTGTAATGGTAGTTCTTATTTAAGGGCTGTAAAACTAGACCTTAAAGAAGTGTTTCCAGTAGCCACTGTCTCTTCCACCAACTCTGGTCATTTAAACAGGAACATCTGGCAAA